GCTCATCGCTCTCATCGTGGAGCAGCTCAAGAGCCGGGGCCTTTTTGACAGCTTCCGCCGGGACTGCCTGGCCGACGTGGACACCAAGGTAGCTGCGGCCGCCTGGGCATAGGGGAGCGGGGCTGCACGTGAGGCCGCTGGGTTGCAGCTTTGATTTTCGAAAGCCGAGAGCGAAACAAAAGATAGCTTAAAAATCTCAGCAGTGAGGTCTTACACCGCTTGGGGCAGTACGGAGAGCGTTCTGAGCGATGCACACGTGGGTTCCCGCCTGGTCATTTACTAGCTGTGATTTTTACCCAGTCGCTTCTCTGAACTTGGGGTTTCGATGTGGATTTTAGAGCCTAGACCCTGTCATTCCCAAGATGGAACTCCTCGAAGGCCCTTAGTAACAAACTTCGAAACCAAGTAGTTAAGCAAGCGTGCTTTAGAATTTCCACCTGTTCCGTACTCACCACTGAGAAGCTGGCATTAAACAATGATTTGAACACACAGTCTTCACCATTTTATAACTGTTTATTCCTTTGCTCTAGCTCAGTGTTTTGCAGACTTTAGTACGGCGTTGAATTAAGATAAATTGTAGAAACAGCTCCCTTATTTTGCACTTCATCATTGATTAAAGGAGATTTGGTGCCTAGTTTAGATCTTAATGCCATAGGTCAGTCCCACCGATAAAACACTGTTTCACTTTACCTGCTTGTCAGAGTGGTTTGGATTCAGTGAAATAATGGGTGTTAAGTATCAGACATACAGTAGTTGCTGGAATGTTCATTTTCTCCCTTTTCAAAACTTGCCTAACCACGACTATGGTTGTAGGTTAGGAGACTCTTGTCACTGGACTCCTACAGGGTAGTAATTTCTCCTACCAAAGCCTGTCATGGAAACGTTTTGCTTACCTCACAGCAAGATTGTGAGCTTAGAATTAGACCTTAACATAGGGAAAAACCCTAGTCTGTTTATTCATTGAACGTTTATTGGCCTCTAGTTGCCAAACTGTGTGATTACAGGAATAAGTCACTACCCCATCCTCAAAGCTTATAGTCTAGGATAGAAAACTGACCTGTAAACCAGGTGGTAAATAGGTATGTGGAGAGAGAAAGTGGCATACACTGTTACTTCTCCAAGATGAAAATCCCAGTTAGAAGTACTGTCCTTGAAACAAAGTAATTTCATACATATACATCCCAGGTATGTATTGACAGAGCTTTCACCTTTCCTAGGACAAATTCTCCATTCATATTTCTTATATTCCGTTTGGTTTTGTGTGTGATTTTAAAACAAAAACGACTACAGTAGCCCGCCCCATCCAAGGTTTTGCTTTCTGCAGTTTCATTTACCCAATTGTTGCGGTATGGAAGTACTTGTGTTCAGGTAACCCTTATTTTACTTCATAATGGCCCTCAAAGAAATTCATGCGTAGTGTATATAGGGTTCAGTACTTCCTGAGGTCTCAGGCACCCACTGGGGGTCTTTGAACGGATCCCCTGAAGGGAAAGGGACTACTGTCTTGAGCAGCTGTTGAGGGAGAGTGGGTGGAACCTTCCCATGTACAGCTCCTTAGCTGTTCCTTCTATTACAGGTTGTTTTAATTCTTGAAGATAATGTTTTTTCAGGCATATGTTATCTGAGACCTTCGTTGCTTTAGCCCAGTGGTTCTCAAAGTGTGGTGCTTGGATTAACACCAGCATCACCTGAGAACTTGTTAGAACTGCACATATTGGGCCCCACCCCAGACTGCTGAAGTAATTAGGGGAAATTGAACAGATGTCTGTAATTTACTTTGCAGTGCATCCAAAACCAAATAGAACTGATAAGTGAACAGGTGGAGTGGTTGGTAGTACAGTAAAACGTTGAGTGGGCTCATGAGTTCCTTTGACTTCTTGAACTGAGATTATTCTGTATCGCCTGGGTTTGTTACATGTTTTGGTGGTGATGTTCACTGTCCTTTGTCCTTTTTCAGTAAACAGTTTGTATCATCTCAAACCAGGTGAGTTCTTTTGAGTAGAAGGTGTGGTATCAGGATTTATACTTACAAGGGACAAAAATAATCCTAACTGCTTTATGCAAAGGGGAGAATCTATTGCCTCATGGAATCCAAGGAAGGATTGAATGAACAAACTCTCCCAGAGGGTAGGCATGCATTTGGAACCAGACATTCCCCACTCGTTCTGTCTTTCATCTCTGTTGATACCTGTTTTACTGTTGCTTCAGAGTGGAGTCATCCATTTGGTTACTAGCATCTCTTGATTACATTTTACAGCTTCTTCCTCTCGAGAGACTGTCAGCTCCAATTTGGGAAATCCCAGGGAATGTCTGCATTGTCGTAGCATGGCGCAGGCACCCACTCCTGTGGCACCCTCTGCCCTACCCTCGTGAAAAGAGGAAGACAGTTACTAGAAAGAAGGCGTTGCTAGGCAGATAGCACATGGTATCGGTGAATTTTACTCCTCTGCCCCCATTTCCTTGCCTTTCTCTTTTCCAGGTTTAGTGGACTCTTTGAGTTTGCTTTCTCAGCCTTTCGGAAGAGGCCAGTTGTGGAATTGAGGCCTGCTGGTTCCTTCATCAACTTCATTTCCCTGTTAGCAAACTTTGCCACAGTAATGCTGCATAACAAACTGAATCTCAGCAGCTTACAACCAGCACAGTTCACATGTTCACGGGGCAGCTAGGAAGGCTTCAGCTGGTGGCTTGGCTGCAGGCTGCCCAGGTGTGGGTCCAGGCTGTGGGTTGATGTCAGGCCTGCTGCATGTAGAGTTACTTAAAAGTAAATGGAATAATATAAGTAAAGCACCTGGCATTGTGCCCACCCACCATCAAGTGGGCACTTGTGTTAACCATTAATTCCTGACTGCCACACTGCATGGTGATCTTCATGCACAATGGAAGTGTGTTTAGGCTTGATAACATTTCTATGAAAAGCAATGTTTTGAGAGACTAAGTTCAAAACTTTGGTGCATGTAACTTCTGACCTTGCCTCCTCTTTTTAACATTTTAGCCAGCTTACCAAAACCTGAGGCAGAAAGTGGATAATTTTGTGTCAACACATCTGGACAAGCAGGAATGGAATCCTACAATGAACAAAAACCAATTGCGAAATGGTCTGAGGCAGAGTGTGGTTCAGTAAGTAAGCAGAATTTAAAGCTTTTGAAAAGGCAGTAATCACAAGTGTGATGCACAAGAAGGTTGAGGTCTCTGTTTAGTCAAGGTTGATGGGACTTTATATCAAGTATCACTTAGGAGTTGCAGCAGTCTGCTCCTTTATTACAGTTAAGGTTAAAGTAAGCAAAGTACTCAATTAAATTCCAGTTTCTGCAGCCTGTGAAGGCCTCTTGTGTGCATCTCTGCTGGGTGCATCGAAAGACATTCCAAATTATGAGACATGTTCCCTGCTCTTTGAAGTTTCAGTGTCGTCCAAACATATGTGAGTTTTATACCAGGATATCAGGGTTTGGATCTTGGGCAAGAAGAGCTGGATCTTTATTCTCACAGGTGAATGTAAGTTAAATTCTTTGAGTCCACCAGGGCTGCCACCTCTAAAGTGTAATGGTGGCAGCTTTCAGGAAGGCATAGTCTTAGCAAAGTATTGTACTTCACAGTAACAAACTGAGCCTTAGTTAATGAAGGTGCTGTTGATAGCTTATCTGAGTGACTTTTCACTGTCACTGGGCACAAAAGTGGAGGAGGGTCATGGAATCTGGTCATAACATTCATGAGCTAACAGTTACAGAAATGGGAGAACACATTAGTGATTGCCTGGGGTTAGGGATGGGAGGAGGGGCGAGTGTGACTTGAAAGTGGTAGCACGAGGGGAACTTGCGATAGTACAGTTAAGTATCTGAATTGTGCTGTGCTTATGTGCAGCAACTTGTAAAGTTGCATGGAGCTACACACACAAGTCAGTGCAAGTGTAACTGAAGTCTAAATAAGGTCTGGATTGGACCAGTGTCATTTTCCTAGTTTTGATATGGCACTGTAGTTATGCAAGGTGCTAACATTAGAGCTGGCTGAGTGAAGGGTGCATGTGGAACTCCCTGGACACTTCACAACTTCTGTGAATCTGCAGTGATTTTTAGATTTTTAAAGTTTTTAAAAGTGTTTTACTAACAGGCTAGTACTTCCAATATGGCTGAATGCTGGGAAGAAGCCTGATAGCAGAAGATGCCTGGTGCCTTGTCATTCTGGGGTCAGTACCGAGTGCCTTTCCCTTTCTGCAGAGAGCAGACTGGTGGCACCGGGCTCTTTCAGAAAGAAGGGGACAGTAGCTGCCCCTTACTGAGCAACTCTTCATTACATGTCTGGCACTGGTCTTTACATATATCACTCATCCTCACGAAAAACCTATTTCACAGCTGAAGTCACTTGTGTTTACCCTATCTTGAGTAAATCAAAACATTGAACATTTTGAAATACTTGGAAAGTTGCCGTAATTGTATAAAGGCTGTTAACATTGCTGTTGATTTCCATAATGAGCATGGATGTCATTCTAGAAGAATGCATGTGGCACTTCTTTTTGCATATCTTTAGTAGGAATTGTAATACCAAAAAGTGCACAGAAATACAGTAAAACAGATAATGAGAACATCCCTTAATCACCCAGGTCAAGAAATGAACTCACACCTCCCAAAATAGCCTAGGCCCAGACATACCTTCCTCCTTTCTGAAGTTTGCTGTATTCCTGACTTTACGCCAATCATTTCTTCTCTTCATAGCTTTTACCACCTCAGTGAAATTTTTTTTTTTTTTCCTGCTTTTTTATTTGACTTAGAATGTGTTTAACCTGAAAACATGAACTTGGCTTTAATACTGGGACATTTCTCCACAATTCTTGCTAGCATTTTGAATTTGAGGCAAAATCTACTGGAGTTTTGAAATGCAGACTTTCTGCTTGCCCCCGGGTGCTCTCGCCAGATGGACATTGCAGGCCTTCAGAGCATTGGCTCACTGGCCTAGCTGTTCTGGCCCAGATGCTGTAACCCAGTGCCACAGCCTAGAGGGTTTAACAGGAAATTAGCCTGTACTATTTAACTGAATTATGACAAATAACTCTTTTAACTATACAATATTTGTTCATTCCATCTTCTACGTTAGGCTCCTGACAAGATTTTATGTTTTCCTCAAAAGCTTTAAGAATCTCCAGGAAAGTGAGCTGCACTCCCTTGGTACTTGGTTTCCCCTGATCAGGGGTTTTGGTCAGTTGGGGATGCTTTAACAAAGCGCCGTAGACTAGGTGGCTTGTAAACCATGGAAATGTACTTCTCACCATTCTGGAGTCTACAAGTCCAAGACCAAGATGGCAGCATGGTCAGGTTCAGGGGAAGGCCTTCTTCCAGGCAGCAGACTGCCTACCACTTCTTGTTCTTGTGTGGTGTGAAGAGAGCTAGCTAACTTCCTGGGGTCCCTTTTGTAAGGGCATAAATTGCATTCATGGAGGCTCTGTCCTCATGACCCAATCCCCTCCCAAAGGCCCTACCTCCAAATGCCATCACATTAAGGATTAGATTTCAACATAGGAAGTTTGGGGGACATAGGCATTTAGTTCATAATATCAAGCTTTTACATCTAGTAAAGACCCCTGTGAATCCGACTCAGGAAGTGGTTTGGTAAAGTTGGAAAGGTATTGGCTTGTGACTGAGGAGAGGTGGCTTTGCTTTATAACTGACCCATAGCCTGATGCTAAGTTTGCTGTATTTAACAATGCTCATCACTAAGGGCAGATACTGTCGAATGCCTGGTCTACCTGAAAATGTGCCCTTCAGTGCTCTGGTGGTGGTGTATTTACATCTAGGCTTCCTGTCGATAAGCTGTTAGTTACCATTGAATCTGGGAAGCACTTTACACACTAATCATCTTTCCCAGTTCAGGGCCTGTTTCTCGTCTTTGTCATGATGTACATTTACTCATGTCTTTCCTTTGCTGTGCCCTGACAGACTATTTACCCAGTTGCTGCCTGGCCTATTTTTGCCCAAGGGCTTAAATGGCCTCCAAAGTCTCAAGTCTACGGGAAAATAAGTAAAACCTGCCCACATGCTTGTGATGGTATTGGAATATTTCAATCCTTTGAGAAGAACACTTCACTTTGAACCTTATGGGCTGTTTTCCAGACTGTCCAAATGTGATTTGTTTGCTCTCACCATCATTTCCAGTACCCTGTCCCAAGTGTTTGAATATAGACATTGATATGCTCTGACTTTTGCTCTACTTCAGAAAGGACTGGGGATGTAATTTAGCTCTCCAGAGCTGGGAACTAATTTGTTTCTTGTCTATTTCTTGTTTGCCTACGAGTTGCTTATTATGTGTTACAGGTAGCAGCCGCTGCTGAAGGCCATGGTGAGTTGCTGGTGATGTAAATACTCCCAGCCCTGACTGATCTGCCTTGTTTAAGATGTGAGGATTAGTAAACAGGTTGCTGCTGGAGCTTCTGCTTAGGCTATCAAGAGAATAAATGTTGAAGGAAATGGAGTGAAATTCAAAGCTCACTGGCTTTGACAGTACGAGGAAAGTTTTCAGCGCCACACGTGTCAGATTCTTTCTTGCCATGCTGTCATTTGTTGTTTGGGGGCAGCCCACTTAGTTTTGTTTTGCTCCTTTGTACAAGTTTGGGTGATTGTGGATAAGATTGTGCAGTAGGAATAACAGCTGCTGGTTGAGAATTGCCCCTCGAAAGTGAAAATAGCTTGAGCTGTATGTGGTAAGTGGATTGACCTCTAAACTCCCTGGATGGGCTGTAGCTTTTAAGGTGGACATTTATTGGGCTCCCACATGACACTTATTGGGGCTAAAGATGAATCCCGAAGGAACTAAATAACAGAATGATCTGTTTGTCTCCACAAGGTCAGGGATGTTGGAAGCTGGAGTAGACAGGATTATTTCTCAGGTGGTGGATCCAAAACTTAACCACATCTTCAGGCCACAAATAGAACGAGCAATTCATGAGTTCCTGGCGGCCCAGAAAAAAGCAGCTGTGCCAGCACCCCCTCCAGAGCCTGAAGGCCAGGACCCTCCAGCTCCATCTCAGGACACTTCCTAAGGTCCAGTATCCTATCTTCTGTCCAGGAGCATGCATCTCTGGCTTGTAGATATGTAAAATGGATAGGAATGGGGTAGGCCATAATTGAGGATCATTCAGAAAGTATTTGCTGCAGATGGACTTCACCTACTGTTATGAGTCATTTTTTACTGAGAACTAATCAGAAATTAGACTGATTTTCTGTTCCACCAGAGCTAAACATGTAAGCTATGAATAGATGCTTCATTAGAAATCAACTGGGATGATTGGTGTGCATAAGGGAGATTCAAATGAGAGTCTTATTTTGCTGAAATGTTTGAGTCTCTCCCCTGGACATGAGTTAACTTGGGCTTGCGATTTTATTTAAAATCAAGCAGTGCCTTCTGAAGTGGTATCCTAAATGGGATTCAGAGTCCGCTTTGAGTGCGACTCAATTTCCGTGAATTTAGAAGGAGTTTGTTTACCACTATTGATTACCATGGGATTCTTCTGTTAGGAACACTCCCGCTTTTAAAATTAAATTTGGAATTAAATGTAATTTTTAAAAAGCTCTAGATGTACAAAAGAATGCTTTTTGCAGGTTTTGGGAGACATTAGTATGAGCAGTGATGAAGTTAACAGTGGACTCTTAGCCATTGTTGGTGACCGTTGGGGTATATTTTATCCCTTCATTCTGATGTTGGTGTTCGGTTTTTAAGATTCTCTGAGATGCCTATTCTTAATCAGTAAGTGAGGCGAATTGACTAGGGCATTTTGAGCGTCAGTGATGAACAACGCAAGAGCATCGGGATTGTCTTTTTGCGCCTCTGTCGAGAGAAGCCCTTGAGTCCTATATGGAGTGTAAAACATTCATTTTAAGTCTTTGTAATTGTAAATTTCTTTAGGAACATAAAAGTGAATATAGTCTCTTATCAATAAATAACATTTGGATATGATTATCTTTCCTTTTTAGAATATACCTGACACCTTTTGAAAGCTAATTTCTGGTGAAGAAGTGGATTGGGTTACATAAGAGTGCAACTTCAGACCGAAGATAGGCCAAGGTCGTCACTGATCTCAAGATTTCAACCCTGACTACGGGCAGTGACCAGATTGAAAGGGGAGCAAGTTCGGCAGTGGGAAAGTTGACTATGTCGCCCCCTGCATTGTGCTGCCATTTGGCCAGCCTGTCCAAGGGCATGACACCAAGTAGACACTACAGAGAGAAACACTACAGCGACCCAGGGTTGTCCTGAAACAGACTTTTATACTTGAACATGGAGACTGCGCGTGGACTTTAGGGTTTGTGTGGCGGAATAAACGGAAGCTACAGTGAGGACATAGCCAGTCCCAAAGACAATTTCAGAGAACATGACAGTAAAGTTTAGCTGGGAGTTGTCTTTGACAGTGTTTATTTCATACTGTCTCTCAGAGTTTGCAAACCAGATTGTACAAGTCATTAGCATCAGATAGCTTTAAAGTTGTGACCTTCTTGTACATGAATCTTCTAGCCAGTTTCCTTTCCTTTGTAATAGATAATGAGACATGAAATCCTAGAATGTGTGAGAAGTTCAGACAGTAGGCATAAGGAAACTCGTTTGCAGGCTGTCTGTCCAGGGCTGCTTCCTGTCCTGAAGGGGCCAGTGAGTCTTGGGTATGTTTGTTTTATTCTCACATTTGTGTTTTTTTAGAAGTGAATGGTCAATAAATGGCTTATCTTTCATAATAAAATCATTTGATACTCTTACTTCGAAGCTTCAGCTGAAGCTTAGACCTCAGGTCTGGGAAGGGCAGCCGTTGTGCTCTGCCTCTGCCATTTCTGTGCACCACACGTGATCTACTGGCAGTGAGCATTGGTACCTAGAACTTAGAACTATGAAACTAGGAGGTGTGGCTAAAAGTGGGCTGCTTCTCTCCTCCCTGAGCCATTACTGACACTAGTCTTTAGTTGAGGTGGTCCATGGTGTGTGTGTCAGTGTTTGTCAACCTTGGGTGTACAGAAGTAGCACCTGGGGATTTGGGGAAAATGCATTTTCCGATTAAGACGTTTTGGGGTGGGACCTAGGAGTGTTTCTGACAAGCTGCCAGGTGATGCTGATGCTGCCAGGCCTCTGAACATACTGTGTATAATAAGCCTTGGATAATATATCCAAGATTATGTCAAACTAAGAGTCTGTGGTTCTTGGTTGAGTCTACTACTGCATATTACCGCTAATCTGATCAAAATCTTAACCAATTCAATTGGTTCCCTGTTAAGACAAAGGTTCCACTTCCACCTCTACCATGAATACCCCTATATTAGGACTGCAGTACCATATTCAGCAAGATATTTGGTAGCATGTGCCCTCATTTTAAAGCAAACTGGCCACACGTTTAAGGCAGGTGCAAATTATATCTGAAGTGTGGTCTGTTCCCACCCAGTAGGTGCAGTTCCATTTCAAGCTGCCTTACAGTTGCAGGAGTCAACAAAGTTCTTAACCCCAGAGAATGGGCCCTCCAGTCCTCTCTACTACGAGGCAGACACGGAGTGGCCAGAATTACCAGTCCTGTGCTTGCAGAAAAGCTGCTCAGACTACCTGGAGTGTCTTTGCAGGACCGCATAGCTTTAATGCGAAGTTCTTCTCTGTGAGGCATCCTTCTGGGAGGGAGATCTCCACACAGCTACTTTGTGTTGACCCTCCCAACATCTTGCCTATCCCGCACTGACCTCAACTAGCAACAAAAAGGGCAAAATCCCAGAGAAAGCTTCACCCTTTCTGCCCCCAAATGCTCAATTAACTGTATTTTATATATGTTTTTGGAAGACAGTTTTTGGTTCATCTCAGTTCTCTTACTTTGCTTTTTCTATTACTGGAGATGGCTGGGCCAGTTGATGAGAAACACCCTAATTTTCACAGAATGTTAAATGTGCCAAATACCAAAGAGTTTCTATTGTTTTTTTTTGTTTTAAGTCATTGTGTTGTATCTACCAAGAGTCACCTAGATTAAACATTATTTCATTTGAAAAAAAATGGAGCAGAACATGAGATTATAGAGGTAACTGGGCACATCATTACTGTTGGGATAGACGATGGACTTTTTGGCTCTTAGCAACACTGAAAGGGAAGACGTGCCTAGATTGGTTTGGGTAACCATATTCAGATTGGCATACACAAGAAGACGAGTCAAGACAACAGCACTAGAAGGGTTAGGGGAAAGCAAGCCAGCCTCTTCCTCCTTAGGAACTGGTCACCAGGTAAGCGTCTTCGCATCCTCAGCTGAGTTGTCATGCTTTAATTGGGTTTGTGATGCAGAATCTGGAAAAACTCTGTATATTCTGAGATCCTGAGGAAGACAAGACCACCAAAAACTTCCACCTCTTAAACACACCCTTGCTTAATTCATTCCTAAACAAGAAATTAGCTGTCACTGACCTCAAACCAGTTAGGCCTCTCTCTCTCTCTAGTTGGAAAAACCGCTGCTATTTGCAAAAGCCCAGTAAAACACAGAGCTAATACATGAACAAATATTACCAACACTTGCAAGCCAATTGCAGTCATGAGTATCTTCAGAGCCCCATCATGTAAGGTGGGAGTCAGCGGAGGCAGGAAGACGGGTATCATTTTGAAGCCCAGTTCTTTTGTCTGGGACGGCATCTGTGATTGTTACGGAGATCCTTGCTTCTGGCACGTTTCCGGTTACCAGCTTAGATGTTTGGTATTGCCAACTCAACTCAACCCAGTCCTGATCGTTTTATCTTTTCGCCTTTAGTGAGGTTTGTGGCTTCTGTAGCAAAATTTAAGGAATGGTTTTATCCTGTTTCCATCATTTTGCCTCAGCCTCTATTTACTCATCAGATGGGTGGAGGGTCAAGGTTTCTATGCATTCTGTGTCACCCACTAGCGCAGTGAACTGAATAAGTGCTAACATCCATTACAACAGTGGTTCTGAACAGATAATCCCCAACCAGCAGCATCAGCATCACCCTGGGACTTGTTAGAAATGTGGCCCCCACCCCAGACTCGGAGATGTGGAGGGCCCCAGCAAGCCTTCCAGGTGCACACTAAAAATCACGTTTGCTTAAGAAACATTTTAATTCATAGTTGTGTGTGTGTCTAACAGCTCCTGAAGGGCAAGACTAGTATGTCATTTAAAAAATTCTCCCATAGTCCCTTGGAAGTTCCCAGAAGAAGAGGAGAATCAAATATGAGTGCGTACTAAAAGTCTATTTTAGCCTTTCTGACTGCCAAATATGTGGTGTATTTTCCCCACAAAGGTACTCATCCTGCTCCATGGAAGATCCCAAAGTACCATCTAGTCTCTGCGTCCAACCCAAGGTTCAGGACATCTCTACAGTGGGGACTAGGGAGCTCCTCTGTTAGACCTAAGAATTAAAACTCAGGTTGTCTGCCCAGCATCCCACCTGATAAGCAACAGGAATAATTAGAACAGGGAAGAATGAGAAACCTCGCCCTTCCTGCCCCATAGCAATTCCGAATCCCAGCGGGCAGCCGCTGTGAGGCCACTTCACCTAGGCTGGCAGATGTTGCTTGTTTAGGACTGGGTTCCATTCTTTAGCAGGGGCCTCCCCATTCCATTGTCCTCTGTGGCCTCTGGCTTCACCCTCTGCTAGGTTCTTTCTTTTTCCATTATCCTCCGTTTCCATCCTCCTCTTCGGCCACACCCAGGAGAGACATTCAAGAATCTGTTAGAGGTTGTGCAGCCTTCTCAATCCTCATCCTCCAGGAGATTGGAGACCCAAGGAACATTTTAAGTTTTGAACAGAGACTTCTGGAACCTGGGCTCGTGAGTTTGTTTTGTTTTTGTCAGAATGAGCTTCAAAAATGTAGCAGGAATTTTACCTGATTGATTCCAATCAGTAACATGGGCCAGGAGCTACACTCAGTTCTTTTTTGTGACTCAGTTCTCAAATCTGCTGTATTTCTTCACTCCCTTGCCCTTATGCTTCTCTAGATTTAAACTTTGAGTCTAGATTTACACCTGTGGGGCCTCTGTGCTTTAAAAAAAAAAAAAAAAAAAAGCCAGACTTTTTCCCCTGAGCCATTTTGTCCAGCTGGAAAGTTTGCTTGGGTGCCACCTCCTTAATCATCACACTGAGGCCTTTGTCATGCCACTGTTCTCTGCGTTTGTTTCTTGTTTGGAGCCAAGTTAGTTTACTTACTCAGCATTATAGGTTCTCGAATATCTGGACTGTCCCTTAGTTTCTGCTGACAAACTGGAAAACTTGTCTGCGGGCTCATTTCTTTCTTGTAAGATCTTTCCAAATACCGTCAACCACCCATACCATTGGCATTCTGCTTTCCACCTCTTCCCTTACAGCCACTGGTTCATTAGGTGTGTAACATGCCCTGAGTTACTGCTGCCCAGTACATCCTCCTCCTACTATGTTGGTTTATTTGCATTTTTGTAGCTTGCAACTAAAAAATGTCCTGACCAATTGTCTCATAGCATTTGTTCGATTTACCCATTAGTGGTTCTCCAGTTGGCAGATGTTTTCTTCAGCTGACAGATCAGGTTTGTACTTCTGCTGTCTTTAAAATTAAACTTTTTACATGTGAATAACTGAAGATGCACATGTAATTTTTAAAAAATAATAGACTGTATAAACATTGATATTTACCCGATTTCCCCAATGGTAATGTTTTGCAAAAAGGTGGTACAATATCACAACCAAGGTTGCTTTATTTAAAAACTGATGGCCTCTGCCTTTATTTCTGGCTATTTGCACATCAAGAAGTCTTTTGTGAGTTTGCCAGTGCTATTATTGAGCCTACTTTTGTGTTGAGGTTGGTCAGGAGGTTTTGTTTTGATTTTGTGTGTGTGGGTAATGGTTTGTTCATGCCATGTGTGATATATGGCACAAGTGTGCCAAGCAGTGCACTTTACCATAGGACTACAGCAGTGGCCAGGACAGACGTGGCCCTTCCCCTAATAGTGGACACATCTTACTGGTTTCTGTGAAGCTAAGGGAAATAGTGTTTGAAGTGTCAAAATGCCACAGAGCAGACAGGAAGATCAAGGGAGAAATGCGTTGAATTTATCAACAAGGGCAAGAGCAGTTTGAATGGAGAGCTGGGGGCTACTGCAAGGTGGCAGTAGGCTGAAGGGTGTGAGAGAGAAGGGGAAAGAGAGGGGTCCCTCTGGCAATTTGATTATTGTGAAAGTTGTCAGTCAAAATAGAGTCACTTATGTCAAAAACCCATACACAGCCAGGCGCAGTGGCTCACGCCTGTAACCCCAGCACTTCGGGAGGCCAAGGTCGGTGGATTGCCTGAGCTTGGGAGTTTGAAACCAGCCTAGGCAACATGGCGAAATCCCATCTCTACTAAAAATAAAAAGAATTAGCCAGGCCTGGTGGCAGGCGCCTGTAATCCCAGCTACTCGGGAGTCTGAGGCAGGAGAATTACTTGAACCCGGGAGGCAGAGGTTGCAGTGAGCCGAGATCGCACCACTATACTCCAGCCTGGGGTGACAGAGTGAGACTCTGTCTCAAAAAAGAAAAAAAAAGCCATACACACACACAGCTGGGGAAGGCCATGAAGGGAGAGGAATGCCTGATAACAAAAACTATCACAAGACTGCGAAAACCACAGCTTTGCACAGAGGCCACTGCACCCTGACAACCACACAAATTCTTCTGCGAGGACAAGTGCCCAGCAACCGCCTGTCCAGCCTTGGACTGAAGCCGCCCTTGTTATTGGTCCACGTTGTTGTAGCCAAAGATAATTATCTCAATGATGCAATCCTCTCATTGTTTCTTTAAAAACCTTTTTCTTTACCTGCCCGAATACGCACCTAGTTTGCTATGGCATGCATATTCCTGTTGCAATGTCCTGCATCATGGTGTTTGTTTTTTAGATAGACTGTTGTTTAGGTTGACACTACACATTTATTTAAATAGATAAACTTGCAGTGGGAACACAGTCAAAGGGTACAAATGGGTTTAGCAGTGAGAAGTTTCCCAAGAGTGTCCTTCCAGTCTCTCAGATGCCCTCCCCAGAAGCTGTTACCAGTTCCATCCTTGTCTCCAAACACATCAACGCCTGTAAATTTTTACGTATGCCTTTAGCTGGGACACACTTCACCTCTCTGTCTCTGGTGGAGGTTCCTAGAGAGGAGAGGATAGCAAGTCCAGACTTTGGGTGGCCAGCAGTTCTTAAAAATAGGAAGGGAGGGCACTGGGGAAAGCAACAGCGGCCTTGCAGAGCTATGGAGTCCGTGATGAGCTATGATAAGAAGTTCACCCAACATGCGGGTGTGCCGTGTGCCGTCCACCCCAGCCCCAGCACTCCAGGGCTCCCCGCATGAATTCTAGCTCTGCACCACAGAGACAGAGCTGTCATCCCCACTGACAAGCACTTGTCAGTGACAAGTATTAAAGCTGAGAGTCCAA